ACACATCACACAAATTAATTTACCTAAAATCTACCACTTTTCGCATTGCTTGTGATTTATAAGAACAGGATTAGCCTCCTGTTGAACTGGTGATGATCATGAGTAATAATTAATAAAACTACATTGTTATACAATGTATATATCTTACATTTTATTAGTTTTTAAGTGGAAAAGTAAACGAAATTATCAAACAACTGTACAAGAAATACGAATAATGTCTCTGAGATTTTGAATATTATGTGATTTGCTCACAGTACAGTAATACCATATTATTTACCTTTGCACAGCCAACGCACATACGCGGATAGACTGGAATTTCTTGAAAATACCTGGTAACCGGAAAGTCAGGGAATTTCCTTCACCTGTTGAGTGGAACCCTGAGATTGGCCAAATGAAAAGCCCTGAAATTCTCGTCAGGAATATGATAAATTTTGAAGAAAAAAGAAAATTTTTTTAGCTAAGACGACGGTCACTTAATACATTTAATATGGGATCTTCAAAAAGACGTAATGCTTCTTCATTTGATCAACTGGGTTCTTTAAGCATTTCACATGATTAATAATTCCTTGTTTATAATGATAATAATTTTCAATCTCGCTCTCCAATCTTTCAAATTTCTAATCTTATGTTTCATTATATTTACTCATCACATCAGTTACATTCTTTCCTTACAAATCGTTGCTCCTCCCACTCTGAAATTTCCTTCCCTGGGCTATGAGCAACACAGTCGTAGATGAGTATCCAGCATTGCCTTACCTTATATATGCAAGTAAAATCACTGAGCATAACCTTTTCTGTGCTAGCATTAAGTTCAGGAGATTTGAATGCTACGCATCAGATTCATTTTGCGAAGTAGGAGGTTGGAGCAATTATATCGTAGGGCAATATGTGATTGGCAGATACTGTATAGGCATAACTTGCTTGTAGAATATCGTCTGGAATACCAATGAGGTGGGATATTCATTCGTGTTAAAGCGCAGTAGTACGCGCAGCTAGACTTAAATGCTTCTGTCCTCACTAGGAGGAGAGACCGTTCTTAAAAATCTGAATATGCAATAAAAGTTATTGTTATTATTGAATTATATTTATGTAGAAACAATGGTGGTGAGAATTAGTTTAGCAAATATTTTTATTTTTTTATTAGAACAAAAAAAAGTGAATTTGTAACAAGCAAGTCTAATTATTTGTCATTCTATAATTGCAGTTCAGTCACCATTTTGCGGGTAAAATATTGTGACTTTATTGACCATGCCCTCGCTGAAATACTTACTTAGGTAATGTTATTGCTCTAAACTGTGCATATGTTTAATTTAGAAGTAAATATTCTTAAGGTTTTGATTGTTATAACTGAAGCTGCAGAAAGAGGGGCACAAGTAAGCAGAGCAAAATGAACATTATGAAAGTCCTGTAATTAGTGCCATCTAAGATGCTAGATTAACTAGATAGTCATGTAATAATAATTATGTACCATGTTTTAGGTCGCGATTAAGTCGCGATGTGCAATTTTCAATATAAATATTCTCAATATAACTTTTATAAAATATAACTTTTCTCAATATCTGTTAAAAATGTATAAATTTTCATTTAATTTTTCATTAATTTTATTTTTTTTTCCTCTTTCATTCCTTCTCTTTCTCGTTTTTGGTTAAGCGTTCACCTAACAGGAGTAAGCTTGGTTTATGTAATTACGGCAAAGCCAGAGGGCTATTTGCCTAACGGTAGGGATGCCTTCGTGGAGGACTTTCTAATGAAAACTGCCTTGTAGACATGTTACACATGGGAAAATCCACGAAAACAGCCTGTCTGTTTGCAGGATTCAAATTCGAACCGAACTGCCAGTGTTCAGTGACTTTACCGCTCGGCAGTTGCTGAGTCTAACAGAAATAGAGTGACAGTTTTACTTAATATATAACAAGTCTCTTCCAATGAAAATTGCCTTTTTGGGCTAGAACTTTATTAATACATTCAGGAAAATGGGCACCAAAAATTTTCCCATTACCATGTAGCTAAACCGAAAACGAGAAGGAGAAGGAATGAAAGAGAAAAAAAATAAAATGAATGAAAAATGAAATGAAAATTTATACATTTTTAACAGATATTGAGAATTATATTTTATAAAAGTTATATTGAGAATATTAATATAACATATATTGAAAATTACACATCACGACTTTCAAAATATAGTACATAGTATTATATCTATTTACATGACTGATCTAGTTAAATCTAGCATTGATAGATGGCATCACATGACGGTGACTTTACACGATCTGACGCTTTGCTCCGCCCTACTTTGTGGCCGCCTCCTTCTGCAGCTTCAGTTATAAATTTAAAAAAAGCCTTAAACCATATTTTACTTCTACATTAAACATTATGCATTAGTTAAGGGCTATAAACATTAACCTATGTAAGTATTTTAAGTCAGAAGAGTGGTCAATAAAATGTTACAGAATTTTTATCTCAAGGATGGTTGCATGAACTGCAAATTATAGAGGTCACAAATACCTTTGCTGGTCTTCAAAATGCAATTTTTTTAATTGCTTTTAATAACAAAATAAAATATATTTGCTAAACTAACCCTCACCACCATATGTTTCTATAAAAAATTATAATCAGAAAAAAATTTTTTTTATTGCATTATTCAGATTTTCATGACAGGGAAAGGAAATTTCGTTAGTGGGGGAGCCAAATGATTTTTTAAGGGAAGGAATGTAACAGAATGTATGATAATAGTAATGAACGTAAATATATTAGAATTTGAAAGCATTTGGAGAGAAGATTGGAAAATATATCTTTAATAAACAAGAAAAATTATTAATGATGTGAAGTTGATTAAATTAAAGCTACAGATAATTTTTGAGAATGGGATCTCAAAATTATCCGTAAGCTTCAGAATTAAAATGTATTAATGAACTGCCGTACTTAAATAAAAAAAATTCCTTTTTTTTTCTTTAATTTACTTCATATCCCTGACGAGAAATTTCAGCACTTTTTCAATTTGGCCAATATACCAAACAGCACGATAGATATCAAACAATGCTAAATTAACACAATAATTAAAAGCGCATATGACATCTTCAAGAATCGAAAACTGAATTTTAATGATAGGTGAAAAAATAACTTAAATATTGAACTTATGAGAAGTCGAGAAATTTTGTAATTGATTGTAAGTTTAAATAATTATTGGGTATGCGCCAGCTAAACGTCACTGTCAGCTTAGTGTCATGTTGACTAAATGTCTTGACAGTTAGTTAACTGTACCATAGCTAAATGCCCTGACAGCAAATTCTGTGTGTCGTCTAAATGTCCTGTTGGCTAAGTGTCCTGTCGGTTAACTGTCCGTGTCGACTAAATGTCCTTGTCGGCTAAATGACCTGTCGGCTAAGTGTCCGTGTCAGCTAAGTGTCCTGTTGGCTAACTGGTATCAGTTAAGTGTCCCGTCGGCTAAGTGTCATGCACCCATGTGTGATATCTGGGCATTTTACAATTTAACATAAATACAAAAGAGAGCTTCTTTAAACCTGCCATGTTTGTTTCAATAACTTTTTAATTTTTTATTTAACTCTTTTCTTTACCATCGTAAATTTCATAGAACAGCCAACCTTTTTGTCATTAAATAAATGAATAACTCTTGCAGTGAGCATTTAGAAAAATGTTCATCTTTTCATTTAGTAGTCATCTGCTTATGCAATTTCTTCACAAACTTCTTTTAGGTATCCTGTTTATGTGATAACTTGAATTTTTGATTCGAAGGTAGACATAAAAGAGCAGGTTTTCTTCAGGGGAGATATTTTTGCTTCTGGCTTCACATAGCCAAGGAAATGGCTTTTCCTTCATCCTGGAAGTTTATTTTCTAGAAATATTTGTATAAAGGATATTCTGCAACCAGTGTCATGAACATCAATAATTATTAGGCCTGTCTTAGTGGCTCAGCTTTTTGGATCTGCTCATGAAGACATGCATTTAAACAGCTTCTATTAGCTTTTTTTTTATAATTACATAATTTAGTCTCTGTTTTCATAAACTTCCATAGTGTAAAAAAATCTCATGCCTAGATAAAGACAGTCATGCCACTTAAGGGGTTAATAATTGCATTCTGTGAATTCATTGAAATCTTGTAGTTCTGAGTAATTTCAGGCATATTGAAAAGCTGATCATCCACTTTTTTAATGCATATTTTTTTAAAGCATTCATAAACATATTATTTATTTAGTGTAGTTAGAAAATTAAAATTTCAGCCAGAAAATGAAAAATACATAAATATTAATTCTTTGGCACAAATGAAGAATATCCATGATCTGGATTATTTTACCATACAGGTGCCAAGTTCTTTGATCAAAACAGTCTCTGTATTATAACTCCTTTAATATGTGTTTAAGCATACTGCCAACTATGAATCTGAGGACAAATTCCTCTTCCTTCCTCTCCCAATTTTGGAGGTTCAAATGCTTGAAGAAATTTGATCATTCAATCAGTTTTGAAAATTTTCATCTTCTGTCCAGATTTTCAGCATTCAGAAATGGGGGAAATAAAAGGACAACTTGAGTTCAAAAGAAAAAAAGAATGGGTAATTTTAGTTTTTTAATAGAAATAGGGAGTAACATTATTTCTTTAAAAGTGAAATATTTTTAGAACCAAAATGATAGTTGTAAAAGCAAGTTATTTGGTGAATTTAGTAAAAATGAAAATCCACTTTATTTGCAGTTTTTAGTTTACTGTATGCATTCTTAATTATATAAATGTTAAAAAAATAAATAAATAAGTAAGTAAAAATAAATTGTTAATAATATTTTACATGTAAAGGTTGAGTTTTCATTTGCATTCTTATAAAATTCAGCAGTAATTATTACAAAATATGTGTATTTTTTCCTTCATGTAGCATTTAAAAATTGCCATTGTATTTCCAGATGCATTTATGCATCTATACCATATTTAACTATTTGGATGTATGTGTGTATGCATTACATTGTATGTGTATATCTTATATACTTCTATTACAGTTATGAAAATGCTGGAAATACATTTGAGCATCCTCGCAATGCTAGTCGACAACTATCTTCAGTTAAAAAACTTAATTCTCCTGAACAAAGTGGTTCTGCAAACTCAAGGTATCACAAAATATCAAATATTAATTGTATAAATCATCCAGTTCATAAAGCTAAAAAATTTTTATATTAACATATCAGTTAAATACAATTTTAGCATTACAATGCTTCTTAAATTATATGATAAACAATGTAACGAAAAACTGTTCCAATTCTTTTGAAGATATATCTTAAGTTTTTTACAGTTGCAGAGACAATAATGAAGATTATAAATATGAACAAAGATAGAGTTGGAATTCAGCACTGAGACTCAGATTTTGGACTTTATATGTTTCTTTCTTTCTTTTTTTTTTTTTCTTCCTGGCCAGTCCCATTTTATGATCATACGGATAGGAGGATCGGAGCTGTGCAATAATAATAATAATCTTAAGTTTTTTTAATATACGTAAAATTATAGTTTAATTCCCTACAAATTGAAATAGTGCAAAATGGCAAATTTTTTTTAATATATATGTTTAGCTAGTAAATGATTTTTTGATTAGGATTCTTAAGTATCAATTTTTAAGGCATATTCTTAAGAAGAAGAAAGTCATTTCCAGAGAACAAGACCAGTTAAATAAAATTTGGTTATATAAAATTAGTCGCATTCCTTCAAACGTTATAATAAATTTGAAGAAGGGCAAAGAGTCTATTGAAAGAGAACTGATAAAATTCTTAAATATTAAAAATACTGGAGAAATTAAATGTAAAAAAATTTTGTGTAGTACTCTTATACAGTCAAAAGTCGTTAATTCGGACACCCATATTCCGGAATGATCTATAATCCGGACCTCAAAGCTACAAACTTTCTGCGCATGCGTCACGTTCACGCATGCGCACAGGCATTTACGATTGCGCAGAAACCTTACTCGCGAATATGTTGTGCGCATGCACTTAATTGAACGACGTACAGCTAAGCGAAATTATCTAATTCAGTTAATGTTGCAGATTGCGTGTTCCTTAATATTCGAAGATCCGGCGGATTATTTTTGCAGACTGTAGAGCAATTTCATAAAGTAAGCTGAACTTCGATATGTCAATAATTCCTAATATATTTACTAAATGTAATTGGATATACAAGCGAACGTATGTTTCGAAATCCGAAATTTATCAATTCCACGCCGTGATGAAGTTGAATGTCAGCACTATCCTTATCTTCAGGCAGATGTTTTATTTTATTGGCTATAATTGCTTAATAAGTGGATATTTATCTCATTACTCTGTATTTGATAGATTTAATCAAGTTCCCGCATTATAATTCTTTTCCTAAGTGAAGAAAAGTGACCCAGAGGTTATGAAAACGAAACATCGATTGACAAATTAGTGTATTCTAACACAGCAATATAGACTTGACGTGGAACTTGTACTAACAAGAAATTATGTCTGTTTAAGAATTAAGAGAAAGTATTATCACATGAAACGAAACAATTACATTGAAGAAAGTTTTAAAATAAACAACTAATATTAACTTTTATTTTGTAATTTTGATACCCTTTAGATCATAATTGTTCTTATTTCATAAATTAGGTTTTTCATATTTTATTGTAATTTCTGCACAGCCATCTCACCAGATTTAACTGATGATCTATAATCCGGAAAAATCGATAATCCGGAATCGCCGAAGTCCCGACGAGTCCGGATTAATGACTTTTGACTGTAATAAAAAGGAATACAAAGCTTTCAAAATTAATATGATTTCTCTTCAACTTATTAGATCCATTTTTTTTTTGTAAATAAATACCATATTTATTTGAATGTAAGACTCTTTTTCATTGAATTTTAGGTTCTAATATTTTATAGGATCTTATAATTGAATATTTTGATAAATGAAATTGTAAAATGAAAGGAGAATTTAATTATTGTACTATATAATTACACTAAATAAACCATACAGGTAATTATGATGTATATAAACTGTATAACTATTACTAATTATAGTACTCCTATCTAGTTAAGTGATTTTAGTTTTGACCTGCAGCTCCTGTACTTGTCACTGATATGTCTGTAAACAAATAGGTAACAATATATCACTAAATTTTTCTTTATATACTGTGGTAAAATATTGTATTTAATTAGTTTCCCTTTCATTCTAATCGGAACCATACTCTCATCAGATATTCACCTGCATTTTTATTTCTTAAAATTTATCCAAAAAGGTAAGGGACTGTTTTATTTGAGCAAACATAGTATAAATTGTTCATTTTTTTCCATCTCTGGGGCATTTGATCAATAAATAGGCAATCAGTAGAATGGATTACAAATTTAAGATTGTAATTAGAAATTACTATTTTCTGTGTTAAAAGTTTTAAATAGATTAAAATTTGGCAACATTCATTCTTTGATCTTATTGAATATATCTGGTAATTTTGAAGAAGACTTCCAAAGGAGTCATCTAAGAAGCAAATAGTATTTTAACATTTTTTCAGATAATATATAAACTTTAATAATTTTTATAGGGGAGTAAAATATCTTAATTCATGGTAACTGCTGTTATTATTTTCATATGGTCATCATTTTCAATATAATTTGGCTTTGAAAAGAAGGCAGTTTCTATCGAAAAAGATGACCTGATATAGTATAATTGCACTGTTCCAATACTAAATAAACCAGGTAATTATGATAATTATAAACTGTGTAACTGTTGCTAATAATAATAGCTGAGTGAGTATGAATGATTTATTGTCCCTTTCTGATTTATAATGAAACAGCCAAAGGCCTGTGTTGTATTATGACATGTGATTATTATGAAAATAGTTTAGAAAATTATTTACAGGAAATTTAATTTGGGAAAATTATATGTCCTGCCTATGGGGATATGAGTTCATACTAAGATAATATTAGAATGTAAATGACTACTTTTATAACTACTCATTATTCAAATATAGGGCTCTTTTATTCCTGCAGACAGCAATGAACTAATCTCAAAATGTACAAAATCATTCCTTTTGATCAAAAAGAATCGTGATGAATGCTTGCTGAAGTATACTTGGCATATCTAATGTTTCATTGCATATTATTTTGATTGAAAAAGTAATAAAAAGAAAGATTTGTACTTGATTAGCTCCCCACAAATTAAGTTGAATATTATTAAGATGAACATGTGAAAAACAAAAGTCATAGATTATATCACCACCAGTGATGAGAAATGGTTTTGCAAATATCACCTGAGAACCAAAGTGCTGGAGTGCATTGAGATCTTCAATTGAGAAAACAACATTTCCGAAAACTTTTAAGATTAGTCCCTCCCTCCGCCCCCCAAAAGTATTTTAAGTAAATTGTTCAAAAGTCATCTCTTAGGAAAGATGTCTATCATCTCATCTATCATCACTTATTCACTAGATTTATTACCATGCAACTGTTTTCTGCTTTGCAGAATGAAAATGGTGAGGAATCCTTGTAATAATGTTGAAGGCAGTTCACGTGCCATAATGAGTATTATTGAAGTTATCATAAAGCAGACTTGCCTAAATCAATTCATAATTGATTTAGGCAAGCTTAATTTCAATTTAAACTGAACATATATTAATCACTTTTTACAGTACATATGCAATACACTTTTGTTAACATCATTCAGTGTTGATGTTAGTGTCATTCCAGGATTTATTCTTGATGGTAAGGATAGCCTGGCTGCATAATTCTTTTAATTATTTATTTTTTATTAAAATTTAAAAAAAAATGTTTATTTTTAGCTCAAAAGGGCCTCTTAGTCTTAAAATGGGATTTTCCGTCATTTCACTTTTCATTCAAGTTTGTTGCCATTCAGCAAAATATAAGATATTTGTCTTTCAAACTGAATCCATCTATTATGGATTAACAAACTAGCTATTTGGAAGCACTTGATGGAGTTTGAAGAATATTCATTTCTTACTTTTGAATTGGATTGATTTAAGTAATAAAAATACATTTAATTCATGATCTATTTAATTAAAAATGACTTGTATTTTCACAGTATGACGATATATATATATATATTATTATTTATCTCATTTGTAAAATTTTAACGAATTTTTGATCAACAAACTATAATTTGAAAGCAAGAAGTGGCAACGCTGTACATAATGAAGCGTTTATCTTCTGTATGCGAGACTATATACCGAAAATTCTAAGACTATGCGTTTTTTTAATATTTTGTGAATTTGCTGTTGAATTGAATTTTATCTGGTATAAGTGTGAAGAACATGGTATTTAATAAATAAAATTACCACACAAAATGTTAATAATAAAAAGATTAAAAAAAGTGTTGTAAGCTGTCGAAGTAAATTGAACTTTGATAAACTGGACGGGGGAGGAACTCTGAAAGCTTTCAGTTTTTATATTATGCCCAAAGGGGCAGTTTTTTAATGTTTTGTGTGTTACCTTTATTTATTAAATATCATGGTCTTCACACTTAAACCATAAAATTCAACTCAACAGATATATCACAAAATAATTTAAAAAGAGCATATCTTAAGAATTTTCGCTGCACAGTCTCGTGCACTGGAGATAAAAATATTCCCCCCTGCATAGTGTTGCCATTACTCGCTTTGAATCATTAAAGTTTTATAAAACATGAAATAGGTAGTAAAACAAATTCCAAATGTGGCATTCAGATTCCCATTCAAGTGGAGGGCAACGTTATTCAAAAGTTGATATCTCTAGGTATGTTTTTTTCACAGTGGGGAAAACATACATACATTCATGCAGATTCTTCATTATTGATTTCTTCAAATATAATGCAGGTCTCTAATATTTGAGCACAACAATTTGAAAAAAGAAACGCCATTTATAGTGAAACAACATTAAAAAAATGAAATTAATTGCCCCTTTGGAAGCCCCCTCCCCCAAAATTTAACACTGCCTTGGGAATTCTAAATGTATGCTGCTATACTGCTTTTAATATTTTTATGATTTTTACTGTTGACTTGTATGTGGCATAAGTGTGAAAAAAAAGATGCTTAATGATAAAGTTAAAAAGACAGGGGAAAAAAAAAATATTAGTTGGAGTGAGTGCAACAGCAAACTAGTAGCCTACAGGTGCAGTGAAAGCATGAAAACTTTTAACAAACCCTTTTAACAATCATTAAAATATGAAACTTTTCAGATTCCCCCACACTCTTGTTATTATTTTTTAAATTATGTTTCCCACATATAATGTAAATAAAGACAGATTTCCTTAATGTCATCCTTCATTTAGCCGTCTCTTTGGAGCCTGGTTATTTAGTCATGCTTTTCCATGAATAAGTGAACTGTTTCATTTTGTACCATCTCAGTATTTGCAAGTTTGAAATTCTATGGTATTAAATGTATATTGAATCAGAGGTGCAGTTATTGCACTTGCGAGCAAATAAGTTCTACAAAAAGTAATTGAAATTTTTTTATTGGAAACAGTATGTTTGAAATAAACATATGAAAATGTTTCTTCTGGTTAAGTCACATCAATATAAACTCTTTAGAGGACAAATTTATTATTTGAAAGTTTCCCAAACAATGTTTAATTTTTACATCATAAATTTAAAAAAAAACTTTAAGTATGTTAATTACAGTACAAAGTCCGTAATCTGGACTCGTTGGGACTTCGGCAATTCTGGATTAAGGGCTTTTCCGGATTATAGATCATCAATTTAAATCTGGTAAGATGGCATGCAGAAATTATACAATAAAAAATATGAAACAGTAATTTATGAAATAAAGAGCAATTATTATCTAAAGGGTATCAAAATTTACAAAAAAAAAAAAAAAAAAAAAGCTTAATATTATTTTTACTTTATAAACATTTCTTCAATGTAAGCTGTTTAAGTTGCTCATTTTTTGTGCTAATACTTTCTCTCTAATTTTATAAACAGACATAATTTCTTGTTCAGTTACAAAGTTCCACCTGAACGGAAGTGGTATTTTCTGGATTTAGAACCATGCTACAGCTTTCGCCGTCCATTAATTGATTGATGATTGGGGCATTGTCATCGCAATGAAAAACTTCTGTTATATCATCTTCATTTATTACCGCTTCTCCATATTTCTTTACAAAATCCAATAGCTGGAAAATTTAACCTTTAGTTTGTGATGTCGGAAAACCTTCAAATTCGCGGCTATCATCTTCATCGTCATCGCCATGAAATATGGTAGCTGGCCATAAATTATGCCAAGCATTTTTTAACGTATCTGGAGACACATCCTCCCAACGCGCATGCATAAAGCATACAAAAAAACGTTTGTTGCTTTGAGGTTCGGATTATAGATCATTCCGGATAATGGACGTCCGGATTATGGACTTGGTACTGTATGTACTTGGCTTAACAGCACTGAAATTATTAAAATATATGTTATATATATATATATGCTGTATGATCTTAATTTTGAAGAAAATACTTAAATACTCTCATTTTTCTTACATATATATTTATTTTGTAGGTTATCTGAACCATGCCCTCAAAATTTTGACATTGTTGGCAGCATACTGCAAAGTCAAACTCTTCTGCATCGTTCTGATGTGTTAACGCTTAAGAGAGATGGAACTTTATTACTTAGCCCTACAAGTGATTCTAACCAACATGCACATTCAGCTAGTACTTCAACTCCATCTCATAATTCTACAAAAGTTGGTCAGAATCAAAATCCTTTTCATAACTCATCTGTCTTTAAAGATAATACCATTTCTCCATACAAGAGTGATACCGTAGGCCAACAGAGACCTTTGAATCCTACTCAGAATACCACTTCAAAATATGGCGAAATGCCCAGACAGAATTATGCGTGCAGTTCTTCAACTTCATCCATTGAGAGATCTACAACTTACGATATAAATACCATTTCTAGGCCATCTATTGGAAATAGTAGTAATGATAGGTATGGAAATGATTCTTGCTCATCTTCAATGCACAGAAGTTTTTGTAGTTCAGCAACATCAGATGACATGAAAAAAGACCTGCGATCATCTAACATCAAAGATGCTGGGAAAGGGCATCACAGTGAGGATGAAGTTGATATCTATAGCGATATTGAGTCTGTATGTGAGGAAGAGGGGGCGATAATTGATAGAGTTGAGCCATTAAAAATATCCTTCAAGTGTGATGACTCACAGTTAAGTAATCCAAATGAGGGTAGTGACTCCAGTGATAATGAGCTTGTTATTGATGAGGATATGCCTGTGGATGAAGATGGTGAGAAAGTAAAGGAACACTGTGTTAATGCAAATTTTATAGACAAAAGCCATGGTGGAGATAGAAATGAAGCTGTAGCTGAAAGCGAGGAGAGTAACATGAGCAGTATAGCACAATCTGACATGCATATGACTGATAATGAAGTTCAGTCTCCAAGCTGCTCTGAAAGTCAACATATGAATGAAAACTCTCAACCTGGGGATGAGTCTACCAGTGATACATTTCAAAATGATGGCAGTTTTCAAGAGACTGAAAAAATTTTACAAAATGAAAATCAAGAGAATAATGAATCAGACAGTGATTTAGAAAACGAAGATTCTAAAAATGAAAATCTGCAAAATAATGAATCGGAAAGTGAGTTAGAAAATGAAAAGACTAAGAATGATGAATCTGAAAGTGATTTAGAAAATGAAAATGTCAAGAATGATGAAAGTGACATAGAGATTGAAAATGCTAAGAATGATGATAGTGATTTAGAAAATGAAAATGGTAAGAATGATGAAAGTGATGTAGAAAATGAAAACACTAAAAATGATCAAAGTGATCTAGAAAATGAAAACACTAAAAATGATGAAAGTGATCTAGAAAATAATAAAAATGATGAAAGTGATTTAGAAAATGAAAACACAAAAAATGATGAAAGTGATTTAGAAAATGAAAACACTAAAAATGAGGAATCTGAAAGTGGTGATGATCAAGAAAGTGATATGGATGTACAAATGATTGAAGAAAACTCACTGGATTGTGCTAAAAAAAGTCTTGAAATTGAAACTAATACATCTAATGCAAAGTCATCACCAAAAACGTTTTCAGAGGAGCTGAAAACTGATGTCTCTGTAATGCAGTGTGACGATAACAGCGTTTCAAGTGAAAATCAAGAGTGTGATAGCATGTGTTCTGAAAACCTGGAAGCAGCCAAGGAAACAACCATTATAGCAAATCAGATAAATCAAAATAGTAATGGTTCTACTTCTCATATGGTAGATAATGAAAATTACCATAATGAAACCAATTCTAACCTAAGTTTTGGAAGTGAACCCCAGAATGTTAATGCCAGTGAACCTGAAGACTTTGCAGAATCAAACATGGATGCATCTCAGGAGAGTATACCTGATGCATCAGAAAGAACAGATGTTGATATGTACAATGATACTTCTATGAAATCTGATGATCACGATGATGAAGAGAATCTTGATTCATTAGAGAATGCCAGCACTCCATGTTTAGATGAAAATCTTGATGGTCAAATTGAGAATTCTCCTATTCAAAATGAAAATGATCAAGACTCCAAATCGGCATTAGCTCAAAATTTAGAATCTGAATATGGAAATGAAGTACCTGTTTCAGATTTGGTTAATGTTGATATGACTGATAATGAAAAAAGCAAATCGGAACCTGTTGAAAATATTGAAGAAAGTGCTGTTGACTTGGGAATTGAAGATATTTCTGAAGCAGGTAGTGAAGATTTAGATGATGATTTTGCTAATGAAACTGTATCTTCTGCTGACCCTAAAAAAACAGATTTTAATGATGTTGAAAGAGAAGTTGCTAAGTTATTCAGTGAGGGCAATGATACTTTTGAAGAAGAACGTAATTCTAATGCTTCTTCTCATCATCTCTCCGGTGATTACTCTAGATACCCACCTTCGTCTCATCATTCCAGTCAGTCATTTGATGATCAAGAGGAAGGAGAAATTATTGAAGATAAACCAGTGAGACGAAATCGAAAACGATGCTCAAAATCTGAACGTTTTCATGATGATAGTGAAGATTATAGTGAACTTGCTCCAAGGGTAAATATTTCAGACCTTCCAAGGATTCCAAAAATTAAGCGTGACAGAGAGAAGGACAGTGTTCCAGAAAATATTCCTCTTGAAGTTAAACGGACTAGTGTTTTAGGTCGAGTTGATCTTGGTGGAGCTGATATCAGCTGGAAACGTTTATCAAAACATACCCGAGAACGAAGTTATCGTGATGGGAGGCCTAAAGATGAAAGATTATTGTATCGTGAGCGAGAGTCACGAAACAAAGATAAAAAGAATTCTATTGATAATGAACGTAGGAATGAAAGCAAAAGCAGAGACGGGGAACGTCGACGGGATGATACTAAAAAACAAGATATTGATAAGTCTAAAGGGGACTATGAATCACGATCTCGTAAAAGTGAAAAAACAAAAGAAATTAAACTTGTAGAATGGAATTATCCAGAAAGAGAAAAGCGCAAATCGCACAAAGATAAGCATTCTAAAGAAAAACATTCTAAAGATAAAAAGGACAAAGATAAGTATGAAAAGAATAAATATTCTAAAGATGAGGATAAGTATGAGAAAGTGAAGGAAGAAGTACGATATGAAAGAGAAATGAGATATGACAAAGAAGACCGTTTTGAAAGAATTGTTTATGAAAAAGGTAAGTTTAAAGAAAAAGAGCGTAAAAGTAAGCACAAAGAACGGAAAACTGAAGGCAAATCAAGCAAAGATCATTCTCGTGAAAAACATAAGTATATTCATGTAAGTGATCACTTTTCTGACAAGCAGAGGGAGAGAGAGGTTCGTAAAATTGATGATAAGTTGAAAATTGTTGTTGAACAAAAAGAATCTCGCAAAGATAAATCGAATAAACACAAAGATCGAAAAGAATCAAAGCATGAAAAAAAGCAAACTCACCATCATGAGCATCGAAAGAAAGAAAGTGAAAGGAGTCCTTATACAGAACTTGCATCTATAGAATCAAAAGAAATATTTGCCAAGGGTGATAGTATAATAATAAATGTCAATTTCAATCGCGCCTCATCTCCGAAAGAGATTGTTTCTGATAATCATGATTCTAAGGATCGAAAATTTGCATCAGAAGATTTTGAGTCAGAACATACGAGTGCCGATGAAGTAAAGACCAAATCAAAGCATTTATCAGAAAAAGTCAAAGGCTCTCATGATAGTGTGCTGAGCAAAAGACCAGTTACTCCACCTGAGAAAACCACTCAAGTCATGTCAGTTAGTGAATGCTACTGGCAAGGAGGTGATGATCCAGATGGTAATAATACTCCTACATCAGAAAAGTCTGCTGCTGATGATGCTTGTAATGAGGAAGAAAATGATACAATGGGATCGGTTGATGCATATGAGGGAGACAATTTTTCCAATAGCTGTAACAGCCCTGCTGTTCCTGAAGTACCATCTGTTTCTAAAGGTGATTCAGAGGTTGAAGCATTATCAGAATGCCCTTCTGATAAAATGGTGGAAAGTGTGCTTGCTAAAGAAAATGAAAATTTTACATCCAAGAGAAGATCTCCTCGATCACCTTCACCTCCTTCTCCTGCTGACAATGACAGTTATGACCCTTGTGAGCCAACGAGAAGCCCATCACCACCACCTATGCCACCTGCCCCTCCTCTTCCTACAACAAATCCCAAACCACCTCCTTCTCCTGAACTTCCACCTTTACCTCCAGAACCTGAACCAACTGATGTCATACGTGAAGATCCACGTACTCATAAGCAGACTGTATCATCTGAATTTACAGCTGTTTCTTCAGCAGTTTCCAGTGCTTCTCAACCAGTGACAGTGCATACTCAAACTTCTGTGGCAAACCCCCTTTCAATGCCTAGCATATTGCTGCCTCCTCCTAGCTTCATGTCACATGCTACATCAACTGCAAACAACTTACAAGCCATGTCACCTTTAATCCCCCCTAGAAATTTTAATTTCCAAGTAAGCACTCATCCTACTGTTATATTTTCTAATCAGATGCAGCAGGTAATTCGGGGCAATTTTGTACCAGCACAAATACATACAGGTTCCTCTATACCACCACCTCCGAATCCACCTAATCTGCCTCATATGGGTTCTGTGCCACCTCCTCCTCCACCACCAACTGCTATGACTTTATTATCTCAAGTAAGGCATACTCAGTTGAATGTTCGACCTGCCTTACCTCCGAATTCTTTACTGCAGAATTTAACCTTGGGACATACTGTTAGTATCCCTCAAATGCAGTTGGCTCACATGCATCTTCCACCAAATATGTCTGGTACTATCACCAATCATCAGTCACCTATGATGGTTCCGTCACAAAGCCAGACAGTTAGTCTTCCTGTTACAGTCCAAAATCAGCAGGGAGCTAGACCTGTTTTAACCCCAAATCAAATGCAGAACCATACATCTTTAATGCAGAACCAAACAAATAATAGTGCTAAAACTCAGGGTAATTTGGTCAATACTCACCCTCCTAATAGTCAAGCTTGCCAATGCTTCGCAAAAATCTGATAAACAGTCTAAGCATTCACCTCCTGGTGAGAAAACTGAAGTTATTGATATGGAAGTTGACTCACCTTATTCGCCCAGGTGATTCACCTTCTATGGATAGTGTGTGTGATTATTCCCCTACAAGTTCCCCAGTTCCTTCTTCTCCAAAAAGCAAAGATGTGTTTGACAGTTTGTTAACAGTAGATCAAAGGACATCTGACAAAAGAACTCATGAAGGTGCTTCTAAAGCTGAAAAATTAAAAATACGTTCAGAATCGAAGCACACGTCAGAAAATTCAGCAAAGAGGCATAAACATGATAAAGGGGACTCAAAGTTGCGACATTCAGTGAGAATGCAAATAACAGATAAGAACAAAAATTCATCTCGCAAGGAGCAAAAACAGTCTGAAAAGAAAGAACTGACAAAATTAGATGATTCTCAGTTAAAAATTCTAGATGAATTGCCAAGTTCTGCAGTTGAGATGCAAGTCAAGGAGAAGGTATTTATTGATCTTTTCAGTTTATGAACTTTCTCTCTCTCTCTCTCTTTTTTTTTTTTTTTTTTTTTTTGAAATTTTGATTATACGAGGCGTATTTGGAAACTAAATACCATTTTGAAAAAAAAAGGAAAAAAATTTCGAATCCAATTTTATTTTTACATGAAAATACATGTCTTAAACTATTTTTCAACATAGTTTGCGCCAATGATCAAACACTTGTCATAGCGGGTGATATACCATCGTCCCGCTATGACAAGTGTTACCATCGTCAAAGAAACTTCCCGCCAGTTTCGATAACCACGACTCCACAGCATTTTTCGTGTCATCGTCAGATCCAAAGCGCTTGCCACCAAGCTTCATGTGCAGAAACAAGTGATAGTCGGATGGTGCCAAGTCCGGGCTGTACGGCGGGTGATTGAACTACTCCCAATGAAACTGTCGAATTAACGATTGAGTGACACCAGCAGAATGGGGTCGAGCATTGTCATGGAGGAACACAGTTCCTTTACTGAGCATTCTTCTTCGTTTGTTTTGAATGGCACGCCTTAGTTTTGTTAAAGTCTCACAATATCGTGCCGCATTAATGGTTTCACCTCTAGAAAGAAATTAAGCAAAACGCCTTTCCTATCCCAGAAGACAGTGCACATGATATTTTGTGATGACATTGTCACTTTGAACTTTTGTTTTTTCGGAGAATGAGTGTCTCTCCACTCCATCGATTGTTGTTTTGATTCTGCTGTGAAATGACACACCCAAGTTTCATCACCTGTCACAATTTGGTTTAAAAAGTTTTCTCCCTCATCACTGTGCCGCGTGAGAAATGTCAGGGCACTACCAAGTCACTTTGTTTTGTGAACATCGGTGAGCATTTTTGGAACCCATCGGGAACACAGTTTGTGATAATTCGAGGGGCCAGACACAATTTCGAACAAAACAGTACGTGAAATTCGAGGAAATGCCTCTGAAAGAGTTGTCATTGTGAAGCGTCTGTTCTCATGAATTGCTTCATCAACTTTCCTAACCAAATCATCGGTGACAACAGAAGGCCGACCACTCCGATCCTCGGCGGGGACATTTGTTCGACCTGCATTAAACATTCTTACCCACTTTCTCACCACTCCATCACTTAACGCGTATTCACCGTAATCTTCTGTCACTTGACGATAAATTTCGGCCGGTTTAACATTCCTCGCGTTCAAAAATTTAATCACGGCACGGATCTCACAGTAAGCAGGAGAACTAATTGTCTTAAACATTTTAAATGTGCACAGCAAACTGAAAACAAAACATAGAGCAACCAAAATGGCGACAATTGAAAGTCAGTGAACGAGAAAGACTAGTGCGCATGCGCGGGACGCATACCACAGCACTGCGACTGCACTAGAATGAAACGGTACTTAGTTTCCGAATACGCTACATATAATATGTACTTTCTCTATTTTAACAAGTCAAGATTCCTTTGTGTAGAAATTTTATGTTAAAACAGACCATTTTACAATATCTTATATTTGCAAATTCTATTAAAATTAAATTATTATTATTTTATTTAAAATAAGAAGAAATATTTGAAACTTTTGTTATAAAATTGAAGTAGGCATTGTAAAAGACATTTTTTCTACTAGTACATAATGTAAGGGAATCTTGCAGATCACCAAAATCATTTTTAGTTTTAAAAATAAGCTTAAAAGAATTTTACTTTACTTATCTGTAATCTATGTAAAATAGATTATGATAATAATTTTTAATATTAAATAAAATAATATGTACAACAAAGACAAAAAATGTTTATTGAGTAATTAATTACAGATTAATTATAAGAATATATTTAATGCAAAATTTGAGTTTGATAATTTTTGATAATTTTGTAATTTTGTTTATATTTGGTTGTAAAAATGATAATGTCACTCTCATTTCATCATCTACATTTAAAAGTCTTGATCTTTTTTTCATTTTTATATTTGTTAATGCTGAAAAATCCGAATTCACACAAATAAGATGTATAAAATTGTAACAATATTTTAAAAGCGTTTTGCAGCTACTATGGGATAATTGCCTCTAATTTTAATGCAGAGTTGCCAACTCTCCCGATTTAGGCAGGAGACTCCCGATTTTTGATCGCTCTCCCGCCAACCCGATTTACAATATACTTCTCCCGACTTTTTCTTATTCTTAAAATTTCTCACAATTTTTATTGAACTTGGCTTAATACTTCGTTATATGAGCAAAAAAAAAAAGTGATTTTGGACGTCTGAAAGCAATTGAATTTTCTCTAGATTATATCTAAAATAAAACCTTGCGAATCAGATGAGCATTTTTGCTTTGTGAGTGAGAACATATGTATCAGAAACGTCATTCTCCAATGAGCATCAAGCTCCACTGCGTGTCATCTGGCATATATTAGCCAATGAGTAAACAAAATATGTGTAAATCTCTAATAAATCAGACTGGATCGCAGTTAAAGTAATAAACAGAGGAGCGTTTTTCCACACAACATTTATTTACGAACGCCAAAGACGAACTGATACATATACATAATTGACATCACAGTTTCATTTTACAAACACTACCGCCATCTATTGGCGATCTATGGATACACAATCCTAAACTTAACACTCCCCCCCCCATGCATCCATAACGAATGCATCAATTTTATTGAACTTCAAGATTATAAAGTCTTTCAATTGGTCTTCTAACAACACCCTTATCCAACTGAATCTCACAAGATCTAATTCTATCATCTCTTCCATGAAATAATTCCTTAATCCTACCTATCTTCCAGTTACAGCGTTTCACATTATCTTCTCGTACAAGTACAACATCATTAATTTTAAACACGGGAGAATTCTTTGGAGGTTTTGAAAACATGACTTTAATTCTAACAAATATTCTTTATAAAACCTTTTCCAAAAATGCTCTAATATTAATTGCCTATGCTTCCATCTTTTAATCAACTGAGATCTTGTAGATTCTAGTTTAGATTCAGGTGAAGGTAAAACAGTTAAATCTAGATCCAGTTATAAAATGAGATGGTGAAAGAGGATCAGGTTCATTTGGTTCATTGTATACATACGGTTATAGGTCTAGAATTAATAACAGCTTCAACTTCAACTAAGACAGTATACAGTTCTTCATAATATAAAGAAGCTTTCCCTAAGATACATTTTAAACAAGTTTTTACAGATCTTACCAAACGTTCCCAGAATCCGCCCCACCAAGGAGTACCTTCTACAATAAATTTCCATTCAAACCCATTTTTACCAAGGAAATTTAGAACCTTTTCATCTTTACATAAATTATACATATATTTTAATTCATGATCAGCAGTTTTTAAGGTTTTAGCATTATCAGAATATATAACTCTACAAATACCCCTATGTGCAAAAAATCTACGTAAGGCTTGAATGAAACACTCTGCACTTAAATTTGATAACAATTCTAAATGGACTCCTCGAGTCACTGCACAGGTAAACAATGAAATATACACTTTTGTACCATCCTTTAAATACAAAGGGCCAGCGAAATCTATGCCACTTACCTCAAATGGTTGAACTTTCTCCACTCGGTCAGCTGGAAGAGGAGCCGATATCTCGTGTCCAGCTTTAGCATTATATTTTTTACAAAATCTACAATCATGTAACACAGATTTTACAAAACGTCTAGCTTTTAAAATCCAAAATTTCCCTCTTACTTGCACTAAAGTTTCATTTACACCACTATGAAGTACCTTTTCATGACAATTCAAAATAATTAAACGAGAAAAATAATTATTTGGTAATATTATAGGCTGAATTTCATCGACATCTAATGATGATTTTACTAATCTACTTCCAACTCTTAAACAACCTTTTTCATCCATTACTGGATTTAACCCAAACAATTTGGAGTTATGAGACAATGGTTTTTTTATTTTTAGCATCATTCAACTCTGCAAAAAAATACTCACCTTGTGATAAGATAATCCAATAACACATAACATTACATATTTCATTTTTGGTCACCGGACCAATCGCTCTATTCTGTGACTTTAAATTATTAATGAATCTAAATATATATAACGTGACTCTTAAAAGTTTACCTAAGTCACTAAAGTTTTCTATTTTTAACACAGGTTGTAAAGGTTGAACACTGCTAGTAACTTGAGTCACAACTCTTTCTTCAACACTATCTACTATGTTACAATGCTTGTTCACTTTAGGCCAATTTATTTCATCTTGATGAAGCCACGGAGGTCCATGCCACCACACTTGATCTACTACAAGATCACTCACTTTAACACCGCATGTAATTTTATCGGCTGGATTATCTGAGCCAGGACAATGATGCCACATACTCGGAAGATGTTTTGTCTTGAATTTCGGACACTCGATTTTGTACGAATGTTTTCCATCGCCGTGGTGAGTTTTTTATCCAATGAAGCACAATATGAGAATCTGTCCATAAATGAATCTTAGCTTGAGGAAAATGCACACGGACTGTAGTTACAAGTCTTACACCTAACACTGCTGCCATGAGCTCGAGTCTTGGTAAAGATAATTTTTTCAGGGGAGCCACTCTGCTCTTGGCTATCACTAAACTTGTTCCACAATATTTTAAGCTATGGAATTTCACGTACACTGCTGCTCCGTAAGCACTTTGAGATGAATCACAAAAACAATGTAGTTCCAGTGTTTCAAATGTTTCATCAACATCACGAAAATACCATCGAGGTATCTGGATATTAGGTAGATCACATAGTTGCCTATACCATTTGTTCCACTTGTCTTGCAATTCTGGTGGGATAATTTCATCCCAATCAACACCTTTCAGCCATAAATCCTGAAACAGAACTTTTGCTTGAATAACATATGGAGCAAGAAACCCAATAGGATCGAAGATTTTTGAAGCAGCTTTTAAAAACACAACGTTTTGTTTGGTCATTTGACTGGATGAAATCAATAACGTCTTGTGCATTAAAACCAGAAGATATCCTTAATTGTATCCCATTGAAGTCCAAGAATCTT